ACTACCAAAAATAACTATGCAAATTAGATCAATTTAATCATCTCTAGTTTTCTTAATCGCCAAATCACAAAGGAAAGAATATAAAAGGATGATAAGGTAAAAATGAAAAAGATATAGATGAATCCATATATATTGATCAAAATTTATTCAACTCTCATGTCAGTATTACTTTCTACAGAAAATCATTTAAAGTAAACATAACTTATTGCTCACAGTAAAATAACTGAAATCATCAGTCGAAGTACTTTGTGTTGACAATGAACAAAAACAAAGGAGCCTTTGGCATTCCTATGGGAAAAGTACTTATCAGCACACAGTATCATCTACTAGATTAAGTTAATACCAAGCTCTTTATTGAAACTAGTTTAAAAAAAAAACAGTAGTTGAGCACAAACATTAATCACTACTTGCAGCCATGAATGTCAAGAAAAACTTTCTCAGGGATGCACTGTGGTAGAGTGACATATGAATGAATGGCTTGAAGAAAGAAGAACTATTTGTTTTGTAGACTACTATCAGCCAACATCAAATACTACCTAAGAGTGGTTAAAAGGAATAAACAAGTTTATGGATGAAGAACACAATCCAAGAAATCCAAGTAGTTGAAGATCAAACAGAAAATTCAGGTCGATTGACCTGTACTTATTAGATAGTCTACTATATAACTGATTCCCATTCTGAAGGTTTGTATAAGCTTTTGCTCCTAGATGATGAACTATACTTAAGGTTGAAAGCCCAGAAATACCACTCAATTGTCAACAAATAAAGATAGTGCACAGTAACATTTAAACTGGTGATCCAATAATAAAAAATAATTGTGTCTACTTGTATTAGTGAATCAGACACTTCAAAAATTTGTTATTGCTCGTTACCCAATTTAAAAATAAAACCTACCGGATAGATTATTGTCTAACAAACTAAAATATGCACTGTTGAAACATTGAAATTAAAACATATTGCCAAAATGAATTTTTTTTATTTATTTTGAAACTTGTACTTCATTTGAAAAAGGCATTTGTGTAACTGACATTAATAGCTTAGTTGTTATGATGTTTTAAGCGATAGTAAAAGTGTACATCTATGAATTTACTTTTTTCTCTACGGAATCATTAACTTATAGTACCAGAAATAGCACAACTAAGTGGTTATGAAATTGACAAAGTAGTGTTTCCACTCTACTGATAATTTATTACTTCAATCTACTTAGGATCCCGAATAAACATGTAAATATGATTCCTGATTGCAAACTGAATCCCTTGATCTCATTTCAAAAGTTATAACAAATCTTTTGCTTTAAATACTTATGTGAAAAATTTCACACACTTATTAATGAGATCATATTTAATCAAAGAATGAAACACAAAGTCTATAGAGTATACAATGAAATAATCTTATTTCACAACTTCTATTCAACTACAAATAGGTCAGACTACAAATACGAATAATACAGTTAAAAATTACACTTTTACCGAGAGAATTCAAGCGTAAAAATGAAACACCAAGGAAACTAATGATTATTTGAAAAATATACACATTAATGGAAAAAGATTGTCACCAATCTAATATTCAGCAAATCCTATACATAGTTTCACGTTTAAACCTGTTCAATGTACAATGTATGCTTTGATTACAGAATTTGTTTGTATGTCTTCAGTGACGCTTACTCTAAAAATGAAGCCTCGAAATTAATGAAGTCATTTTATCCTTCAAATTAAGTTCTTATTGCTTTGATGCAAAAATGAATACACATGGGTCAATAAAAGGTGATTACAAAGCTATAATTCTTTTTTTGAACCTATTTCCAAATAAGAAATAAAAAGGTGAACAAAAGAAAAAAGAAAGAACCAAATAACCGTCAATGTCACCGATACAAATCAAGGAAAAAGTATGGTTATTTATTAAATGTAGCTGTCATTCAGAACAGAAAAAAAATAATGATGAAAAACATAAGAAGTAGGATAACTAAATAATCATATATATAATCTATATGTAAACATATATATGTATATATTCCATTATTTTTATAGAATGAAAAATAATTTATATTATTTGAACAAAAAAGAGTTTGTCAAGTACTATCTGAATCTGCAAAATACTTAATAGTTACGTTGAAATATTTGGGCTAAGTTCGATTTCTAGCCTTTCATTAATTCAATTTCAATATGTCGCATATAATCACACACAGAACATGGTTGTCGATGACAGTACAATTGACTGGAAACAAACCTTAGAAAATGCAGTAGTATTGTACACAATGCATAAAGTATGCTCTTAAGCTTAACGGCATAAGTGTAAATTCAATATATATTGCTGAAGGTCATATTAGTGTAATGGATAAGTAAATGATAGAAGTCAGTGACTCGGAGAAGATTTACGCCTTACACTCCTACTGGCCATATCTAATACCTGATTAATCAAGTTGAAATAGATGTAATCAACCTATGGGTTGAAAGTATTGAATTAATCAGTACGGACGCTTGATGTCAGAAAAACATCATACAGTTGTTCATCTTTTTCACCACCATAAATACTATTTCTTTGAAACAATCATCAATGAATTTTTTGACGTCATCCGTAGATCACTGCTTTCAAGCTTGAGTAAACACTGATTAGATTCACATTGATTCAAGTAATATACTTAGTTTAACATTCACTCTTTTAAAAACATTTAAATAACAAAGTCCAGTTGAAGAATATTTTTACAGGCCTCTGAATTATCATAAAGCTGTATCATTCATTTCATAAGATGGCAACTACGCTTGAAAGTTGTTTCGAAGTAAGTTTCACTAATACATGTTAAAAGTTATCAACCGAGGCATTTCTCAAAACAATGTTTGCCTTCATATATAATTCAAGCTGAAATAATACTAGAGGTGAGTGAATTTATCATGTCAAAAAACTATGAAATCATCAATCTTTATTAGCACAGGTAAAACTTACTAGACTAGTACACTTTACTATCTGTAAATGTGTGTACTGACCATATGAAAACCTTACCGTTTAAATGACTAGAACAAGGAGTTGTGAACGTTTGTCAACTAAGGTGGCTTAGACACGTAATGCGCATGCCGAGCCACTACCTACCTCTCCATGCCATTCTAAGGGAGGTGGGATTATGTTGGAAGAAGGTTCATAGTGACTAGTCCAAGATGTGGATTAAATCTCTGACTGTTGCCCTGAGTTGTGTGCGGAGATGTAGTCTCTTTGACCTAGGGTCTTGGAAATAATAAGAATCAATGGTTGAGGACTGTTTGTGAAATGGCTCAAAATCGGTCACAATGGCGGAGTTGTATTCACCCCTTAACATCTTTTATAGCTTGCATATTTGCACTAACCATCATCTTCAGATTGGTAATTCTCTCACACTACTTTACCTACTTTGATAGTACTCTCTAGCTATCCACCTGTTCGTTAAGTACTGTTATGAAGTGTGGTAACTTGAGGCGAAGCACTTGTGTGCAAGGTCCTACATTGATTTTGTCAGTCAATCAGCCAGAAAAATAATTTTCTCCAGTAGAAAAAGAATCTCTGTTCAGCTAACAGATGTGATGCATGTTAAGATGAAATGAATTAACTCATATAGTGATGCAGAAAAGATGTATCGAACAGAGAAGAATCTGGATTTTTGTACAACAGAGTAGTTTAGTAGACCTATAAATGAATCAAATAATACGAAATAGAAGTAAATAAACTCATCCTAGGTGGTACTTCTAAACCCATGGGAAAAACTGAATATACTTCGTAGACTGAAAGCCATAGAAATCATTAATATGCATGATTTATTTCTGTGAAATACTTTTTCTATTTCATAACTGATGAATTTATGTCCCTGATCAGCAGGTATCACAGCAGAATGCAAAGGAATATTGCAACGGATATTGGGTATTCGCCTGACACTAGTATATATATATATATATATATATATATATATATATATATATATATATATATATAATGTACTTTCTTTCAAGTATATTCCGAGTGTTCTTTTTCCTTTGAAATTCTAAGATGTTGTAGTAATACAACAGAAAAAGAAGGAAAGAATGCCAAACAGCTTAAATGTTCCATTTACATTTCGGCTAAAAAACTTTAAACTTTACACAAATTATAAAAAGCCATAAATGGAACTTTTTAGACGTAAGCGTTCAAGCGGTAAAAAAAAAGAGAAGTAATGACAAGAGATAGTTTAATATACGTTTGCAGCTACTTAGCAGATGTTAGTTCTAGTAGTAATTGATAATAGCTTGTTGTGAACTCGAAGTTCTCATCCAATTTACAACGTGTCAAATGATAACCTTATTTAGAATACCGAAAAATTAGTCTTTCCAAAATAACCTTTAGAAAAACTACGATCTATTGTTTTTAATGCTAGAAAACGTTGTTTGATTCAGTTCAGTTGATGAGAAATGTTTAGAGAACAGTATAAACCTAGGTAATAACTTATGTATCGAATTCGTAATTCAACTCGTGTAAATGTTTCCTTCTATGCAGAATGAAATTAATCATTAAATTGCATATGAAAGATCTTATTTCGCCTACAGATAACAATGGTGCTGCTTTTATACCTTTTTTTTTATTTTCAAAGGTATCCCATGTACATCCACGCAGAACACAACCTGCAGCAACTTGTAGATAAGACTTGCTGTTAGTGAGTTCCTACAGCATGAATTTGTAGTTAGGTAGCAAAGTCTGCAGTAATTTCTCCTTTAAAATCTAAAATTACAAGGATCAAGTCAGTCTTGGTATTTTCTGCTTATTCGGTAGGTGTAGAAAAACTTACTATACAGAAAGCAAAAACTATCAGAGAAACACTCCAGATAAAAAAAAAACTAAACACACTGATCATTAGTTATTGGTAGAAAATGAATAATTAAGTTACACTAATAAAAATTGTCGACAATTTCGAAATCAAACTGAGAGGATAACACGATACATATAATCGAAAACAGCCTCAACTTAAATGAGTTAAAATGACAACATAACAAGCGTAATAGGCTTACACGCAAATTGATGCGTAGCATAGCGTGGTTTGAAAGACGGTTCAACAGCTGCACTCGGAGTTCGAGAAGCCGACACTGGATCTAAGTAGGTTTGTGAACGTGATCTGCGTTTACTTTCTGCTTCTTCACGGAGAATTGCCTAGGTGAGAAAAATAACCAGAGATATAAATTTTCATCAGTTTTTCTACACAAACGTTACTTCAACTGTATATTTATACAACAGAAAACAAGAATTTCGCATCATTGTAATTTTAAATTATATCATGTAAAAATAATTTACTCTATAAGTTTGAGGAAAATCAAATATTCTGGCAGCAGGTTTCAACACAATAAAGCAATCATAACAGATTCACCTGTTAAATGAACGTCAAAAAATAAGAGTGATTGTGTACCTGCTCAAAATACCCCACTTAACATTGAGTAAAGGAAGAAGGATGCTTTGGTATTGTCAGTATTTTCAACCTGGTCCATTTAATGACAACAACTTACGACTGATAACATCAAAAACAATGCAATACCCATCGCACAACAAGTGGCTATCGTGATGCAGTAGCCTAGAGCATCACGCTCTGGTGTTTAAAGTGAATGGTCCATAGTTTGGGTCTTAGTGGGAACAACACCACTCACTAGGGGGGCAGCTACATTCAGCTGGAGAGTCCTAAATAGGACGAAACGCGAGTCCTTTATTCCACTGTTAGCCAGTATCTATCATCAATATCAAAATAAAGCATGCAGCGAATAGGTTTAGCAAAAGAAATATAATTCATTTCGACTATCAACAACTTGCTAATTTCACAGATAATGAGGTTTACATAGTTTCTATAACTTATTAATTTGGGATAACCAGATTGTTAGGCATAATTTAACAGTTCCAGATCATTTGAGCGCATTCATCACGAAATACAATTATTTGTTCAGTAGATATTTCATGTTTATGTAAATGTCTAATCGTATCCATTGGTTTAACCTATGAGTGTGATGACAATTAGTAGTGTAGTTGATTCGTTAAAACAAGTTTGACGAAAAGACAAAAATATTTTAACATTTAAATACATTTGTTTTTCAGGTAGCATTCATCACGGACTGATATCCAATGCAGAACCATTAAAAACCTGGGAGCACTGGACAGTTATTTCATCCTAGTATGGGACTCTTCAGCAATACGCACGCACCCAGGACCCGGCTACGGATCGAACTCAGAACCAAGAGGTTTCATGGAGATTGCGTTCCCCTTTCCAGTCACTAGGTCAGAGTTCAGTGGTTCACAGTTCCCTTATCTCTTTCAATTTGTGATATAGCACGACTATCACCCAAGGTCTTCAGTTGGTATCCCCTTCACTTCCAACTGGTTGACCTCACAGGTCACGGCTTCTCATTGGAATTTCGAGATAACCAGCTGAAAGCATGTTACTAATAAGCATTATACAGTTATGTTTTTTGAGGTTAATGAGGGTTTATTTTTAAGGTAGCATTCATCACGGATTGCGAGAGCGTACTGTCGAGGAGTCCCTCGCTAGGACGAAAAAGTTGTCCTGTGCTCTCGGGTTCTCACTGGTTCTCTAACTGATATATAAGGTTTTTTATCATAATGTTACGATAAGGATATCCTGTATATCAAGGAGTAAACTGACAATCGTCGATGACTGAGAACATTTGTGAGACAAAATAAAAAAAATGATTTTTTTAAAATTTTAAACTAAATGGCTGAATAACGTTTAGGAGAATGATCATATATCCTGTCGGAAACTTCGTGTCTTCATCTAAAATTTAAGTTTGTATCTAAGGATTCAGAAATAAAGTTATATTATAATTGTAGTGTGCTATAAGATTACCCAGATCTCCATAAGAAGCACTAAATCACTGAAACCTTTCATAACCAATCCTTTTGCATTGGAGATTCGAGTCAATGCACATGAAACTACGTACAAATATCAGAATGGTTAAAGAGGTAAACTCAATAGGTGTAGAAGTAATCAAGACTGTTGTAAATATATATATATATATATATATATATATATATATATAAACCATTGCATTTTGCATATATATATATATATATATATATATATATATATATATATATATTGACACCAGTATATCTTACTGCCTTTCCTACTTACCAAGGAACTGATGGACCATCAAGGAGGGAATCTTAAGGCTATTGTTCAACTATCTACTCTCAGATACATACAACAATGATACTTCAGGATAAATTTGGCAGCTAGTAGACAGAAGATTAGATTTAAGATAATAGGTTATTCACTCTGGTATGATTCAACCTCAAGTGTACAACACTCCTTAAAAACTTGTGCTTTCGATGTTGCTACTTCGTCTCATCTGGATGGTTTAATTTTGAAGCTTTTCAGTGTCTGTCTATAAAAGATCATAACACCTAACATTGAGCAATGAACTGTCAGGACTTCTTTCCGAGTGATTAAGTAGCTTGTCTTGCTGCAGTTGTATGTGATTGTGTGTTCCCTTGGATAGTATACACTTTCTTATTGTGTTTCCATGCATTGTAGTCATTTATAATTTTCCTCATGGTTTGAGAATTAGGTCTAAGTCTATGAGAAGTAGATCAATGATCTTAGTGACTGAGTTTCATTCACTCTATGTTGCCCATATATCCTAGTAGAGTCAAACAAATTCATATAACAACTGTTTACAAAACGTCCAGTAACTAAGCAAGTAAGTGACTGTTATTGAGTGGGACAATATTCCCTAGATTCCTCAAAGAGGCCCGTAAATTGCCTGAAAAGCCTTCACAGCTAATTACAGGGCGCCGGAATTTTGTGAAAAACCACGTGATTATACGCGCGAGTTTCGGACTGGCGAAAGGACTTTCTAGAAAAGTATAGAACTTTCTAAGGCCATCAGAAAATGGATATAAACGATTACATTTTGTACATGTTCAACTTGACAATAAACTTTTTTCGTCTTTGCCGCTTCTTTCTGTTTTCAAGGAATCGAGCAACCCTCAAGGCTTCATCCACATACAGCTACATATATCTACCACTAGGACATATCAGTAACTAAAACAATTTACACCACATTGTAATCCACATAAGTTATTTTCTGTACCATAATGAACAGTTTTAATGTCAGGATAAAGAATAGATAGTAATTATTAGTATAATAACTACGAGAAAATTTGCATATGATTACTATATGCAAATGCACAAAATTATGGTCAAGGTTAAATTGCCACTCAGTGCTGAAAGTCAGGAAAAAGAGAGACTACAATCTTTCGACGCTAAATGCGATGCGTTTAAATTACTCAAATGCATTTTTATTATGCAAAGCTTTACATGCACTCAACTTTCATAAACTAACCAATTCCGTGGAACAAAGTATTCATTATTCAACCTTTAAGGATTTTGTAGAAACTGAGATTGATTAGCGAAACAGAATAAAAAAGTAGCTAGTTATAAAAAATAGTGCGTTGATTGAAGTTATCACATTTAGAAACTGCATCAACAGTTAAACATGTGACCTGATTGGATGTTTAATGGTATTCAACATTGCAGTTAACTAATTATTTCTCATCTCATTAATAATTCAAAGTCAATATTTCAGACTGATTTTCGCTCTTCGTCTATAAGTGACATTTTTGTTTCATTCAGAATATAATTCACATGACTGATGTACGTTTCATCATTCTAAATGCTCTGGTTTGTGATATCAAGAGACAAATGCTAATTTATGATTGTGAGTGCTTGAATAATAGTTTCCAGGTTCCAGACTTGTTGGTCCCACATAACGAAATGAACGACAGAATCCGCTAATCACTCAAAATTCCACACACCAATAACTAATCTGTGTAGTTGCTTTAGTTTCACTGTTTGTATTCACAGACGGATACAGCTTCTGGAATCAGTTTGAGCTTCGCGTTTGGCCGCCCTACTGGTTTCCATTTGATCGCATTTCCACCTATAGGCTTCCATAAGAAACGTTGGTGTTAAATATATACCTAATTGTGAACCTTTTCTCTGAAATGTGATCACATCAGTTGTGATACTTTCAATTGTTGAGATGATTTTTCATGCACATAAAACACGAACCACTCTGTGTAAACTACTCAAAGTTTTCAATTCTTGATTGCCATGCTGGCTTACATTCACTGCTAGTTCATTGTTACAACACTAGTTTTACCCAGCTGAATGCTATTCCATTGGAAGTGAGTGAGTGAGTGACACATTGGTAACATGTGTAACTTCGAAGCAAGCACTCATCTCTCAGAATGTAGTAGTTATCTTCAGGTTATATATGTACCTTCGTGATAAAAGTGATAACAGCAACAAACACAGGACTTTGTGATAACTGTTCTCAGCCATCTGGCTTTCTAGCTATGCTGAATGTGTCCAAACAGTTGATTAGAAGTGAGGTGGCTTTTTCGAAATTCACCCATTTGAGGTGAGTCAATCAGTGTGCACAATTCTCAATAGTATATGTGATTTCATATTGCCTATGTCAACTAGACATTAATTTGTGTTGAAGCATCTGCTTGTAAGTTAATTCATTCAAATTGTGACTGTGCTCTTGTGTACACATGGATGTTGTGTAGTCACAATAACCCTGAACGTTGACACTACAAACATATATATGATTCTCTCAAATGTGACATACGGTTTTTCGCGAATTTTCAACTTGCTATGATTGGTTGTAAATGTTTTAATGGATTTTGCTCGTTTTCGAAAGATCTGGCCAACTACAACTACAGTGAGCACCAAAACAGTTTGAAATGCAGACGTTGATTGCATGAGCATATACGAATTTCGCTACCTCCATGATTAGCGTTCAGTTAATAACAACTCAATCACAAGCATAACAACAGAAAAACATCAGAAAAGGTGGTGAAAACTTGGAAGGAGACGCACTGAATAATAGAGTATTATTTCCTTCGCGAGGAAAAATGTAGACTGGAAGAGCATGGTATTAAGTACAAGAATGTGTTGATCTATCCAGTCAAATTTCAGTAAGGTAGGCCGATAGGAAATTAACAAGCGGAATTCGGTATACTTAAGTATGATTATCCAATAGCAGCTGGATTCGACCACAAATACCAATAGTATAAGGCATTAAAACGCTGAAGGATAACGTAACGTAAGTGTACGACTTAGATATATGGTACAGCTTTTA